TCAAGCTACTGCCAAATGATTGTAAATGGAAAGCATTGTTTCATTTTTGGGCAGTTGCCTAAGCGTCCAGTACAGCGCTGGGCAAACTTATCTGAAATTTAGATAAATGAACTTTAAACTTATATAACTATTAAATCTTGATTTTTCTCTATATGTTAGGATCCGGCTGCCTGATGCTTTCTATCAGATTAGAGCCTAACTTTCACTAATCCTGATGATGACTTTCGAACTAATGGTAGGAAAATTGAAAAAAATGATCGTCCAATGTTTGCAAAATCTAAAATTTTCCCCTTTCTTCAATTTTAAGGAGAACCTAATTTTCCTTTTCATAATTTAACTCAACTCAACAATAAATTATTAATTTTATTTTAATACAAAAAATTTGTAATCCGCCCATTTTTGAAATGTCTCATGATTCCACTCTCGAAAATGAAATTTCACATCCATTAAAAATCCGGGCACGACGGACATTGTGGATACGTGCTCGAATATTCCTTCTATGTTTACGGTGGCTGGCTTGAATAACATAAACAAGAGAATGAATTTTCAAAAATATGTGCCTTAAAATTTCCTGCTATTTTGTAACGATAAAAAACAATTTCGTTGCCAGTGCGTAGGAAAAATGCATCCTAGCACATTCCTTAATAAAATAATTATTCAAATTAATCGACATATGTATTAACCGAGCCGCGACAGATAAACCAACGATAGTGCACGCTGACTTTATAAACAAAATAACCTTTCATCAATAGTTACATCGGATACTTACGGTCCCTAATTAATGATTATCCCATTGAAAATATAGAGCAGTAAAAATGCTCATGGACGTAATTGCTTCTAAATTTGCAATGACTTTTTCAACAGTGCCTAGTTAAATAGCTAAAGATTCTCGGCGAGAGTATATAGGCTTGTCTCTGCCAACCTACGGTCATGAGGATCAAAGCGAGCTGGAATTGTTTTTGATAAATGAAACTACATCGTAGTTTCATCATTTATTATACCGGCAAGTTCTGCTGAACTTACCGGTCGGAGCCATTCAGTGTAGGGATGACCAAACATTTATGTTGTAAAAATTAAAACCATTTAAATACCATAGATGCAACTCATCATTGCAACAATAGATTTTTCTCAACTGTTCGTCGGTGTTAAACATTCAGTGCAGCGATGACTAAGAATCTACGATATAAAAATTTGAACCAACTCTGCCGTATACAAATACTCTAACAGAAATTGTGAACAATCATTTACATAAGATTAAGCATAGGAATAATAAATATTATACAAACGGAACACCATTTTGCAACATCAGTTTAGCAGAACTGGTCGGTTTTCAGGGTTCAGTGTGGTAATGACCGAGTATTTCTCGCTCACATGTCGCACTCGCCTATGCATGAGACATCACGTGCAGGTGCATGACAGGTTCATTGGAACGCTACCAAAAAATGTGACTATAAGGATCGTAGGCTGACAAATCAGGCCTATCATTGGCGCCAGGGCTGAGGTCATATGAGGAACGTTTTGCGCCATGTAGCTGGCCGCATGTAGCACTTTAGCGAACCCCTTGTATCCCGTTGTGGACCGATGTGGCCCCGATGTGGGCCGATGTGGACCAATGAGCCCCGATGTGGACCGATGTGGCCCGATGTGACTCGATGTGGACCGATGTGGCCCCGATGTGGGCCGATGTGGACCGATGTGGACCGATGTGGATCGATGTGGACCGATGTGGACCGATGTGGCCCGATGTGGACCGATGTGGCCCGATGTGACTCGACATGTCACGATTTGGCCAACTGTGGCCCGTGATGTAGACTAAGGGAGGGGGTGGATTGAGACGGAAAAAATAGCAGCAAAAGTGTAGCGCGACGGTTAAATTGCAGATCACATGACAGGCATGCACTCTTACTAGTCTCAACATAGCTATATGTTTCATACGAACGAAATGATGACAGTAAGTTAATCGATAGTTATAAAGTTGAGTTAATTTAATTGAGGAATAAAATTTTCCTCTAAATAATGGCACTTAACACGTTTTGTAGAACAACTTTACGACATTCACCGATGAAAACTCATAATTATGTTGCAACATGCACTTCAGAAAATAAATGAATAAAAAACCAAGAGAAGAATTATTTAAAATGTCTCACCGTGATATCTTTAGAATTAGATAGGAAAAACACTAAACTTTCTACTGAATTTTACTAATCGATAACTATTGTCGAATCTATGATATTAGTTGAAGCTAAGCGATATTCAGAATGAACTGATACACGTGTATTTTCAGTGAATTGAACGTAATTTTTTGAAAGCTTTTGCACTTAATCTAAAGAAATTTACATATGAACTCCAATAATATATTCGTTTGATGGACCATTTTCAGCATATTGCAACAGAAATCAAGAACTCTTATATTCAAATTTTCATATTTAAGTATTTTTCAATGCGATATTCCAATATATACAGTTTAGGTATAAAGCATCGATATAGGTGTACATCAGAACTGGAATGATAAAGATATTCCACTCTAATTTTTTGTTAAACTTTACTTAACTCATTAGAGAAACTTAAACGAGTCCAATGTGCGTTTTTTGTTAGGATTTCTTCAATAAGTTTTGGAAATGAGGCCAAATAAAATTTTAGTTTTCCTTCTAGTTAAAATCGCCTTTTGATGTTCCGTGTAACTTTGTGCCGTGCTCCAGAAATCTCACTTTGATGAAGAAACAGCAGCTGCATCATAACGAGACTACGAAGACTTTATCACAAAAAAGGCTGAGGATAAATTCACTCCGGTTAGTGAAGCAAAATCCAGCTTGATTTTTTTTAGTGGTCAAGCGCGGGGATATTCCCTTTAATCAAACATTATTTGGTTGGACTTACCATCCAGTTTTTTTTTCATCATTATATACGAGTTCAAACGATATCAGGGGTAGTCTTTAAATACTGTTGATATGTTTAAAATTAGCTGGAAGTTTAATTTTAAGTTCACTACTGCTGCCAGGCAGCGCGATTATGCAATATGATCTTTCGCCATTGGCAAAATGTACTTTTTTTATTTCTTGTTCTTTCATTCGTAATGCCTTATTCATTCGTAATTGCATATAAAATGACACTGGGAGCGAGTTTAGATATGCAGGGGCAAATGACTTATTAACTGTGCGATGAAATTTCAACAAGAGAGCAACAAGTTATTCCTTTATCGCAGAAAATTCCGGGGCCTGTGATACCTTTATCGCATTAATAAAAGCGCCACCTTAATTGGGATTTGAAGACTCGTGTCAAATATTATGTTTACTACCTCGCCGCATTTGACGGCTATTCCTTCCAAACGAAATTGCATAATTTTTACAGCTTTTTAGGAACCCTAACACACAGCTCGCTGATCAAGAGCTTAATTAACGTGACTAACGTGACTGACCGCTCGATCAATACGCTGGGACACACTGTAGGCGTGTTCGGATGTCCGATAAACCTTCTTGCGTTATTGTTCAACAGCCAATGATTAAACACCTGCTCTACAGTGTGTTGCAAAAACTCACAATACTTCATAAAAATCGTCATTACTGGTAGATGTCTTCGCTTCTGGAACATGGGCAATAAATGTGATGGCTGTTACCCATAACTCCGCTTCGCAAGTATCTAAGTAGCATATACGATGACTGGTACACTGACCTCTACGGTTTGCAGGTACAAGATGCCGTCAATGTGATCCGCTCCATATGATGACCCATGCATCCGAGCAGCAAATATGCGTAGGGAAAAAGGTCGTCGACAGTAAATTATCAGGTCTAAATTTGTGGCAGCGAAGGTTTTGGGATGATAAAAAATGCTTCATGCTACCCAGAGCTCCAACGATCAGGTTTTAGGCGAGAAAGCTTTCTCTTGGAGGTTCATATGCCCAACGATGATGTGACTACATTCTCACAAGCAGAAAAAAAGCCCCAAAAGTTGCATAATCAGTAAAAAAACTTGCCCGACAAGTGAACGCATGGAGTTGGTCAAGCGAAACTCGAAAAACGAAGGCATTTCTGAGGGAGCGTTTATTATTGTAACAATTTGCACTGCGCTGTTCCGGAACCGAGCGTCGTCGAGAACTGCTACGTCAGTTCCATAATGAGGTGAAGGCATGAATTACGTAACAGCTTCGGGGCGTCACTTCGATGGTGATTGTTGACTACCGAGCTTTCACTGTCAGAAAATGGGACATAATATATTATATCAACGTTAATTTCATTAATCATTATTTTCATTGTATCAACGTTAATTTCATTAATCATTAATTTCATTGTATCAACGTTAAATTCGTTGTAGCATTTCGACTGCTGATATAACAAAGCTGCCTACTCATTTTTTGATGCTATGAGACAGCACCAATGGAAGCAATTTTTTATAGTTGGGTTTAAGACTTGTAGCGATAAATGCGCCCACCAGCCTGATCTTTGTCAAAATGACACAGCAATGCAAATTCAAAAATTCACTGTAACTCTTAATAAGGCTACATGGGCGAAAACGAGTGTGAATAACTAAACTCTAGGTAAAGTGAGAAAAAATAAATCCCTCCTTGGGCTTAAACTTCAACATAATTGGTCGACTGATAAGTTACACAATAAACGATTTTTTAATATCGAAGTTTATGACAATGAAAATGTACATGCCAAGTTTAAGAGTATGTATTTTGTTCGTTGATGATTAAAAATATGTGATGCAGTTCGATAAAAGTAATAAAATTTGTTGAATGATTTATGTATTTCCGGACGACCGTCTTTTAATTTGGTATAGGAATTATTCCCTTGGCTGGATTAAAAAGTATTGTTGAAATGTGAAGTAGCTTAATTAACTGTAAAATTAGTATTACAATTATAACTTGTTGAATCTGATCGTACATTTGCTGTCAGTTCTCGGAATTGAAAACATAAATTAATAGATTTCTACTTCTAAACGCTAACCTAAAATAATAAGTTCTTCAAACATTCATATATACATGAGGGATATTAAAATTTCCGTTTGGGAGGAAAACATTTTTATTTACAAAAATGTTTCTGACTTGTGTTTGGAAGTTAGCGGTTGTATACAGCAACGGCCTAACATTAAAGAGATAAACTTCATTACAAACGTAACATAACAGAAAAAATCGTCGACATAAAAAAACTAATTTCGTACGATACTTTTGACCTGGGTTCGGTCTCAGTGAATGGAGCCGTAAGAACTCGTAAGTCCACCCTTGTGTCCACCGCCGTGACTGAAAGAGATGCTGGAGCCGTGCAGGTCTCCACCCTTCAAACCTCCTCCGAATCCATGGCCAATGTCCCCTCCAAATGAAACCGAGGTTTCCACTTCTTCGACCACGCCTCCAAAACCACCGCCGAAACCGTGACCTTTTCCGAAACCGCCTCCGAATCCGCCACCTCCAAAGCCACCGCTGCTGAAACCACCGAAGCCCTTAGACGAAACTGGGACTGGGACTTTAACAGGGACATGTTTGATGACCTCGACGGGCACCTCAACGTGCTTGATGACTTCCACGGGCACTTGCACGTGCTGGACCACGGGGTACGGGTGGGGCACGGGGTAGGGTTGGTGCACGGGCACGTGGACTGGGTATGGCTGGGGCACGGCTTGCGGTACAACAATGGGAACGATGTCGGCGTATCCGTATCCACCACCGTATCCACCACCGTATCCGCCTCCTTTTCCCTTTCCGCCTCCATAGCCACCACCCCAGCCGCCGCCGCCGCCACCCGCTTGGGCGACCGCCACAACTCCCGCCAACACTAGCGCTACGGCCTGAAAATTGAATTATTTTAATTACTTATCATGAGCCCGACAAATAATGATAAAATTATACAAAGAAAAGCTAGCTTACATCAACCGCTGTGTGATCAGAAAAGCAAGAGTTAAACAATTTAATTGGAGTAAATTTTAAGTCGATTTTTAGGAGGCAATAAGAGAATATTGAAATTAGAACATACTAGCAATTGACACATTTACCAATTTTAGATTCATTGAAAGTAATGAAATTTAACAAATTTAGATCTTCATTTGTCAGACCTGATCACCTGCGTGACTTCAGTACTTAAATCAAAACGACGATTTCCTGTTTTCAATCTAACACAATTTTAGCAATTTGTGCAAGTAAATGTAAAACCTTGTACACCTTGAATAATCAATCATTACTGAAAGACCGTAAAAACTTAGAAGACCTTAAATACGGAAATAAAAAGTATTTGTGGCCTCTAAAATTCTGAGTATATATCTCTGAGGTGATTACATCAACGGAGTCCTTGTGAAAGATATGATGGTTTTCCATACTTTTATTTAAAGCGTTGTTGTGAAAAAACGATAGTGGTCAAAGAAAAACGATAGTGGTTGCGAGAGCTGTGAACGTTCAATGATTATTAAAAATTATGTTAAACGATTCTGCTGATTATTTTACCCCAATCAATACTAGCGAAAATGCCACTTATCGAATGAATATACTTGCCCGACCCTGAAATTTATTGGTGCTGCCTTGAAACGGGGAGCACGTAAATCAGCCGCTCTATATGTCTCCTTCGATTTTGAGTTTGAAGGGTAGCCTCTAGCCGGCTTGAGAGCTCGGTATGACTCGGCTCTGCCAACTCTTGTCATACTCTCAGACGACTGTAATGTCGGAAACTAGAATTCTGACCAGAAACTGATTTCGATGGAGCGGCCAAGCAGACCAGCATTACTTTAAGCCCAGTAAAGTGACTCATAGGTAGAAGCCTAGGTAGAAGCCTAGGTAGAACCTAGGTAGACCCTTAATTTTTTAGAGGAACTGCGATAAAAAGCAATTTCATCTCCCAGTGAAACTTTTATCTCTATGAAAAATTTATGATAGAAGTAGTCTTGGAAATATTTCGGGGTGATCTCATTTGGCGTTTATATTTATCTTCACCTTTAGAATTATTGTTCATTTTTATTTCAGAATGAAAATAACAAAGGTCTAAATTTAAATTAGCCGAAAATGAATCCTAGTCATTGATAAATTTTGGCGTTAATATGAATAAACGTTCGAGGGTCAGAATGATTTCAAACCGTTACTTTTTTGAGATCATATCTTACATTACGAACAAATTGTCGAATTTTCGGTGGATATTGTACATTTTAATAGCCACTGTAATTTAACAATTGTTTACATTTTGGAAAATCGAAATTATTTACATGGTTCCACCAACTCATCATATAGAATTATTTAGAAGATTATTTATGATGTCTATTTTAATATTTTCCCTGTTGTAAACAGTTAAATTTACCATGAACACTATTGATTCAGTATCAGCTAATGGTGCAAAAATTCATAAAAATTACATCTTACTAGTCAGAAACAAATTATCGGCATCCATTCAATTTCAATGGATTTTGATTACAGAGCAATTCAATTTTAAAATGCCATTGAATAAAATCAAATTGGCCACTCATCGATCATCAACATAGTGGCTTTCGGAGGTGTTTATTCTCAATGTCATGCGTGCCACGAGTTCTTTAAATCTAGGGTATTTTCCTCAAGCCCCACAACAAGTTCGCACTACTACCCCGGCATGATCACTTAAAACTAGGGTATTTTCCTCAAGCCCCACAACAAGTTCGCACTACTACCCCGGCATGATCACTTAAAACTAGGGTATTTTCCTCAAGCCCCACAACAAGTTTGCACTACTACCCCGGCATGATCACTTAAAACTAGGGTATTTTCCTCAAGCCCCACAACAAGTTTGCACTACTACCCCGGTGATCACTTAAAACTAGGGTATTTTCCTCAAGCCCCACAACAAGTTTGCACTACTACCCCGGCATGATCACTCACAGTTTTCATGACTCGAGAAGTTGACGTTCCGAGGGGTGCTCTAGAGAAGACAATGTACTCTCACTTTCGGCGCAACCAATCTTATATAGAATTGTGCGCGTGAAAAAAGGCATGACGTGGTACAATTTCTACCGGTCCCTCAAACGCGCGCAACCGGTTGGCTTGTAACCTAAAAACCATCGAGATTCTGCCTTCCAATTCACTTCTTGAAAGTAAAACCATGTTGCCTACAGGCTAGTTAGGTCACCGCTAATGGCAAGAGTAATATTATTCAAATCCAATTAGTATTTGAACTAGTAATACTTTTAGATTCAACTTGGAACTGCCAGATTATTCTAAATGCGTAAGAAATCTAATTTGCAATTAATCTAAACCGAAATCAAATAATAAAAGATAAGAAATAGGGGTAAAAACAGTCGTCAAAATGCTCGATTGTGCATTTTTGGAATGATAATGCGCATTGACCTGAAACAATAAAAAAGTTGTCATTTCAGTATTCTGAATGAAAACGATTTTTTCCTTCAAAGAATGAGCAGTAATAATGAGCAGGTGCATGCGCTATTACAAAAACGTTGGCTTGAACTATTATGATTGAATTATGAATTATTTTATTTTTCCTAAATCAGAAGAAAACCTCATTTGAAGCCAGTAAATTTTGCTACTAAATTATTAGATGGACAGGATAAATTATTATCGAAAGCTCGCTTAACACCATTGGAAAATCTTTTTGAATAAGGCGGTGTCAGTCTCCAATATATCTTTTCTTACGCACAAATGAGCTTTCATCTGAAATATAAAGCAAAATCAATAAATTTCTCACCAGAATCGAACTTTATTTGAACTGCGATACAAAATGCAAACATTTTCATTCGGTGTTGAAATGCAGTGACCGAGACGGAAGGGGAATCGGGCGGACGGCGGAACGCTAGCCTGACCTCACCCAGTCCTGCCCTTCCGGCCCAGCGCACTTCGACCTTTCCGCGAAACAGGTTTCCTTCCTGCGGTCTCTATGTTGACGCGATGCAACAACCATTGGTTGTTGGTCTATTGAATGGTTCTATGTTGACGCGATGCAATAACCATTGAATGTTGGTCTATTTTAATGGTTCTATGTAGACGTTTTGCAAATAACCATTGAATGTTGGTCTATTTGAATGGTTCTATGTTGATGCGATGCAATAACCATTGAATGCTGGTCTATTTGAATGGTTCTATGTTGACGTTATGCAATAACCATTGAATGTTGGTCGATTTGAATGGTTCTATGTTGACGTTATGCAATAACCATTGAATATTGGTCTATTTGAATGGTTCTATGTTGACGTTATGCAAATAACCATTGGTTGTTGGTCTATTGAATGGTTCTATGTTGACGCGATGCAATAACCATTGAATGTTGGTCTATTTTAATGGTTCTATGTTGACGTTATGCAAATAACCATTGTTTGTTGGCCTATTTGAATGGTTCTATGTTGACGTTATGCAAATAACCATTGAATGTGGGTCTATTTTAATGGTTCTATGTTGACGCGATGCAATAACCATTGAATGTTGGTCTATTGAATGGTTCTATGTTGACGTTATGCAAATAGCCATTGAATGTTGGTTCGTTTGAATGGTTCTATGTTGCCACGATGCAATAACAATATATTGTTGGTCTATTTGAATGGTTCTATGTTGACGTTATGCAAGTAACCATTAGTCGTTGCTCTATTTGAATGGTTCTATGTTGACGAGATGCAAATAACCATTGATCGTTGGTTTGTTGGAATGGTTTTATGTTGACATGCGAATAACCATTGCTCGTTGGTTTGTTTTAGATGGAATAATTCTATGTTGACGCTATGTAAATAGCTATAGAATGTTGCGTCGTTTGAATCGTTTTATGTTGACGTAATGCAAATAACCATTGATCGTTGGTTTGTTTGAATGGTGGAAAATATTCATTTAGAATGTCATTCAAATATTTTCTTCTCTTATCGCTTCAGGGTTTTATCTGAAGAAGCACTTTAGTAGGAAATTCAGTTTAGTACGAATTATTGATTATTATTTATTTATTTCGTCGATGATATTTTGTCAATCTTGTAAAAAAATCACAACGTGGACTATGAGAGAAGTTGAAATATGTTTACTATTACGCTGAGCATGAAGATATGAATGATCAATTCAATTTCATAAACATGAAAGTTTTAATAAAAAGTTCAAACGACAAATTTGTGAATTCGAATCACAATCTTGTGATCGGATATGCGCGAGAATTCGCACAAAGAATATAAATAATTATGGCGCAACTCTAATTTTAAATGTATCATAATAGAAAAAAAACTGGACATTGTATGAACTGAGAACAACGGAGATCTATTGAGCAAACCTCCAACCGTCAGTGCATGACTGGTGCATGGCTGAAAAAATTATATTTTCCTAAAATTTGTTTTCTTAATTCTGGTTTTCAAAGAAGAGTAGAGATGCATTATCGGCAAAGTCAGAACAAATTTGGAAGCTGGTGCGAACAAAAACAATGAAAAATATAAAAAAAATCTTTATTTCTATTGTGACCATTGATTCGTAGATATTTATTACTTTTTTGAGTTAGTGAAAAACTCTCAAATTCAATTTTTTCACTTCAGTTTGCTGAACTCATGGAGCTTCCGTACAAATAAACCATTCATGACCGCAAAGAAATAAACCTACAATACTCCTGGAAACCTTTCAAATTTAGACAAATAACTAACGTTCAACATTTAAAACGCATGAAAAGAATGCCGGCAATGATCAGGCTGGACATTTTCTTCTGCAATAATAATTGAAAAAATGATTCCATTCCTACATCATTTCAGTAACTGAAAAAATTTATAAAAGTTAATGAACATTTAAGTTTAAAGTATAATGAAAATGTGAGTATGAAATATAATTAGAATTTGAGATTAAAATATGATATAAATGTGATATTAAAATAAGTTTTGAATGTAAAATTCAAATATTATACGAATTATTGAACAGTATTAGGCAAATGCTAGATTAGAATATGATATCGGAATTGATGTGTACGGATGGATTTGATCCACATAGAATGGACATGAAAGAACAGAAACGAGCCACTGAAATCTCAGCTAAGTGTCTGATGTGATGATACGTACAGCGCTTAAAGTATAGGTTTAACGTCAGACATAAATATGTACATTAAAGCGCTGCCCAGCTCTCATGATTTGGATACAAAAGAAGTAGCAGTAAGAAAGATTAAGTTAAAATGGACATGAAATCCATCATGATGTAGACAAAATTCCGTATTATTCTTGGATTAATTCAGATCGACATAGTAAATTTCTCTAGGTCGCATGTATTGCTCTCTAGATCGAGCTATTGAACGCATGTAAAGATAGAAATAATATGCTATATCACTGAATGAATTAGAAAGTAAATAACGTACATTAACCGTTTCAAAAAACGACTGCAAGGTTTTAATTTCACTAAAAGAGAAGAACTGTCGTGACATATCATTGCTTCGATTTATGTTCTTAAGTTAATCAATAGTGCCTATAGATAAAAAATATAACTCAGCACTCACTGCAGTGAGTGACAGAGAGCACATTTTCTTGTCGACGAAATACGTGAAGTCACGGACGGACAGACGAACAGACAGACGGATGGACAGACGGACGGACGGACGGACGGACAGACGGACAGACGGACGGACAGACGGACATGACGAGCACAATAGGGCATTTTTCCATAAATGAGAAAATGCGCTAAAAATAAATTAGAAAAATTCCCACCGAGGTATTTAATTACGATGGCAAATGATAGATTAAAAAATTCCAGCCTACGGTCTATAAAAAACGAAGGAAATTTTGCACATTGGTCAATTGTAAGTGCAGGCAAAGAAGGACACCACCATTCACCGTGTACCGTTCCAGTATTAGTAGCAGAAGATCGAATTCAGCGGTTATTCCAGGGCAATTTTTTGTTTCAGCACAGTAATTTAAGGCAGACACAGGTAGGTAGCGTAATGGGCCACACTGAGAACACCAACCATCACTTCAAGAATCTGGTTCATGGTAACTCCTGTTAGTTGCTGCGGTCATATGGAATTGGAAAATTTTCGTGTCTGTTTGAAAAAAGTAACCATACTGAAACAAGTTTTTATGTGGGTTGGTTATATAATACAGGCCTTTCAGTAGCAAACTTGAAAGTAAGTTGATGATTTCCATAGAGGAACCTTCGTGTCTAAGACTTACTTGCCGGTCAGCCACCCAGACGAGGCTGCGTGTATGCAAATGAATGCATATTGCGGGGTCTCTCTAGAGCAATGCATGCAATCCACGTTTGTGCATGAATTTTTTTCTTTAGTGAAAATGACGTTTGACTCTCAATTTGCATTAATTTTTTTTCTCTAGTGAAAAGAACGTTTTATTCTCAATTTTTCTGTTTCTAACTCGCTAAATTTTTGTTAAATTGCTTTGCTTTTGCATTTTACGCGATTTACATTAAACTTCACTTGATGCTGGGCTATTCATACATGTATTCAGTATTCGAAATAAAAAATCCAGTATGTAGTTGACGAAAATAAAACCTGAAAATGTTAGTTGATGTTTCATTAATATGCTCTCAAAAATTTAACAGTCGTCAAATTTATTTTATGAGAGTAATAATTTAATGAAATTAATTTTACCAGAGTAAAAAAAAGTATGTGATGATTATCTTTTACTATTATATTTTGTGGCATTTATGTTATTTTACAATCAGGTGCATGTCTGAGGTGTAGCTCCAAATGCAACTATTGGATTGAATAAGAATTTTTTCGGTTTTATGCAATCCGCACAGGCTTTAACTAATATCAATTCTCTCATAAGGTGTATTTTCCAGACGAGACGTCAATCTATAAAACAAGTCGTAATTTTATATGTTCTAATATCCACGAGCATTAACGTAATTTTTGTTATTTGAATCCAGGTTTACATGACTATTTTACATGAATTTTGTCACCTGATTAGTCTGACTGAATACTGTACAATGAATATGCACGAAATTTTCAGGCATGCTGTTTTATAAATAACAATCAATTTAAATAATCAATTAATACTTTCGACAGCGCCGATATTTCGGTGTTGGTCCAGAGCAGAAACTTTCTCTCGGTCTGGCCCAGTCACTCGCCTGCCTTGCCCGGCCTTAAACCTGCCGCAAAAACTAACGCATTTGAGGCGACATGCACGCAGGTGCGGCACTGCCTTTCTAAGGAACATTGAGCTGCTATTATGAATAACCTCAATTCGATAATCAAAACACATTATGTAATTGCCTATTAATATTACCATTAATAGGCAATTATTACTATTAAAATAATAATATATAATTAATATTTTAATGGTAATTTTGAGACACATGAAACTAATATATCAATTCGGAACAACATAATCCAATAATTGGGTTAATGAGTATCAATAACTGACAATGATCTAGAATTGGAGCTCAATTATTCACATCATGAAAATACATAGTCAAAGCCACTAAATTCTTGAAGATCATATCATCTTCTAATGTTTAAACACAATACAAAATATTCGCATCTACATTCGTATCGTCTTTACAAACACTTCTCTGTATAACGGGGTATAATGAACTCAATCCTAGTGTAAAATATAGGTCGGTAATTACAGAAAAAAAATAACTTACTACCTTGATTTTAATATCATATTTTTTATAACAGGAGATTCTGAGAGACATTTTCATTTTACGGTCTTTCTAAATCCCTGTCAATCAAACCATGAGAACGGTTTACCCTCAAAACACATTTATTATTTTACCGCTTCGCTCACTCATAGACATTATCAGAGTTACAATACAGGAAATAAACATGAATCTTTATCTTCCAGTATCACTGCGTAATTATTTATATGTTGGCTCAATTAAGAGTTATTGATCTACGTAAAACAATGCACATTACATTAGGGTATAGATCATATTGTCAATTAATATTAATAAATCAGCCACGGATGACTCAGAAAAATAACTTGAGTGGTAAAAAAACATGTTCATAGATGTACGGTGAAAGGTTTACGTTGTGTCTGAATTATTTAGCGCAGCAAAGGCTAACTCGTTTTTTAATTGCAGTGGCAAGGTGAATAAAATAGGCTCATATCGGCGGCCCAAGTTACACACAACGAATGAGACAAAACAATTGCCATAGTGGCGATGAACATCTTGTAGTGACGAGTGTATTATAAATTATAATAAAGACAATCTTGTGGTGATAAAAATTTGTAGTGACGCAATATTCTGGTTGAAAATGTTTTAGTGACGACCAACTTATGCTGATGACAATCATCTACGTACTTCCGACAATCTAGTGGCAAATTTAAAGAAAACCTTTTGATGTCGTTAATCTTGTGGAGAATAGATCCCTGTGTTGGTGATAATTTTTTGGTGGCGTTAATCGTTTGGTGACTTTGGGGCAGAATTACTGTATAAGACAGTGAAATAGAAGTTAATCATGTATTGAAAATTATAGTTTATTGAGCATTTAAAAGAATAAGCGTGAATCTCATATGTATTCAGAGTAGATGGAAGTTCCTAATTGAATATAATAAGAAAATATTGTTTTGACAGTTTTTTTTACTTAATTTATCTGACTCTAAGCCGGTTAGCTCTACTTCATTATAGCAATGATCAGTAATTACATATTGCCTACAAATACTTTCAGATTCGACACATATTTAATATACATCGGTACGAGGCTCTTATAAATGGTGGCTTAAACGTCTCAAATAGATAACTGAATAATCTATTTTATATGAATAAAATAAATATTGCATTCGCATTGAAGAGTTTCTTTTGTTCACTTCTTTTATCAGGCTGGTCGACAGAAGAGATAGAGAGATATTAACGCATGACTATACTGCGAAATATGACATGCATTCACATCCAATATTCACTTTTTCATGAGATTTAGATTTGGAATTTTGGATGTTTTTTTAGAAAAGAACTTTTTCATAAAAATATACATGACATCTGTGAAGTAAAGGTTATTAAAATAGGCGAATGAAGAAATAAGGTTAAATGAACAGCCAATGACTTCAAATTATAGTTCATAGAAATGAACATAGCAATGAAAAACCGTAAGTGAATGTTGAAAAACGATGGTAAATTCGCTCTAAATTGTTACCTGCAATCGGTATAGTTTTCTTTGAAGCTTGAATGAAATGTAAAAACTCTACGGAAATAAGTTAGGTAAATTAACCGATGAATAAGTGGAATGATTTCAGAGTTACAAGTATATGTACTTAATAGTTCTATTAAATAGCGTTCATGCTTCGATATAACTTATATGTTAAAATGACTAATAATTATGTTGATATTGGTCATCCACGCATGATTTCGCCAGCAGAAACCATTTTGTATTAATTGAAACTGAATAATCTTATGTATGAGTTCGTCTAGCCTGAAAATGATTAACCTGGTTACAGATAAAAGCCAACACATTATGCATATTTTCAGAAGGGCATTAAAATCCTCAAAAAATTTTTACCCAGAATTGTCGGCTGAAAAATGGTTTCACAATTTTACTTAAGATTTTTTTAAGAATTCCATTGAATCTGTGCGAATGAAGTCGCTGATTGCACCTTTTTTGCAAGAGACCAGGCATATTTTCCTACCCCAATTACTGCATAAATATAATCAGTATATGTTTATTGTGTTGTATCCCTCTCTTTCTGTACTGCCCCTTAGTGTGCTTATATGTGGACAATTCTTCTATCGTAATATTGAGCCGTTATGAACAAATATATTAACATTTTTGATGACGAAAGTCTTTTTTACTTGCATCTAAACGGACATTTCTTTTCACTACAGTTTCCTATTATGTGCAGCTATACTAACATTAATTTTCAGGACTATGATCGATCAGAGCATATTGCCTACATCACATCGCATGCTGTTGATCGGCCACATGGAAAATGCCTATGGCCTTTAAATAAGTTATGTAATAATAATAATTGGTAGTATATATAAATACGTTGCACAGATCTAGATTGTGAATGGTAATGAACCAAAATGAGAACCGAGCTCCAAGTTCAAACCTCGAGTACCCCAGCGCGAAGCTCTGAGAGTTCGTAACTCTGTGTATAGGCTCTAACTTTCTTTTGAATCTGTTAGCTCTGTTATCTCGCACCCTCGGAACTGTTATCTCACACCCTCGAACTGTTGTCTCGCACCCTCGGAGCTGTTATCTCGCACCCTCGGAACTGTTATTTCGCAACCACGGAAGTGTCATCTCGCTCTTCCCATAACGTTTATTTGCACCATCAAAGGTGTTTTCATGCCCCTTAAGAACTGTTAATACGCACCATCAGAGCTGACTGTTAGATCGCACCATCAGAACTGACTCATCTCGCACCTTAAGAACTATTTTTTAACGCCCTCAGAACTGTTATCTCGCATCTTGAGAACTGTTTTTTAACACCCTCAGAACTGTTATCTCGCACCTTCGGAACTGTTATCTCGCACCCTTAGAACTGTTTTCTCGCAACCTCCAGAATTTAACTGTTTTTTTTTTTCAAAACATCAGAACTGTTCTTCTTCTGAAGATAACGAGCACTCGTCTTAGAATACTGCTGGGATAAAAAAATTACCTACTAAAATATATTTATTCGTAATCAATCAATTTTCGTGAGACATGGAATCGTTCGACCTGTTAACAAAAAAAATCACTCAATAACAATCAATGTCCGTATCCACCGTGGACTCAACAACAATCAATGTCCGTGGATGTGGCCTCCTCCATATCCACCTCCAAATCCTCCGCTGTGGAAGTCCCCGCCCTTGTGAAAATCTCCATATCCACCTCCAAATCCCCCGCTGTGGAAGTCTCCGCCCTTGTGGAAATCTCCATATCCACCTCCATGTCCTTTACTGGAGAAACCACCTTTGTATCCTTTGTGTTCCACGTGTACCGGCACCGGGACTTTGACGGTTTTCACTACGGGAACTTCGACGTACTTGACAACTTCCACTGGAACCTCGACTTTCTGGACCACGGGGTACGGCTGGGGTACGTGAACTTTTTGAATTACGGGGACATGCACAGGATAGTGAACTGGATGAGGCTGTGGCAAGATTATAAGCGATTTTTGGCCGTGGTGTCGGCGGCCGCCTTTCTTTCCTCCGCCACCGCCGTAGCCTCCTTTCTTTCCTCCACCTCCGCCGTAGCCTCCGCCATATCCGCCGCCATATCCACCGCCGGGGTTCGCTAACGCTAGCGCTGAAGTTAGCAACAGTACGTAACAGCAGATCTGTAAACACCAATTAGTGAGAACAACATGCAATGTTGATTTTAACAAACGTCAGTAATAGATGTATTTTTTCAATATTTTTCTTCAAATTTAGAGAAAAAGCTGGCCACATCTGTAGAGTTAGTAAGTCTCTATAAAATTGATATAGAGAATTCTTGTTTTAATCGCGAATGCGGCATTCATTTATCACATTTTTGAAAGAATAATCTAAACACTGCACAATGATCACGTATATACTCTGGAAGTTTTTAGGTCATAAGTTCGTTAGCTGACCAAAATTAGGTCATGGCAATTTATGTTTCAAGTGAAATGGAACGACTATCCGGAATAAATTTATATAAATACAACTTACATTTTCTCGAAACAAATCTAGTTGAGAAAATTTTAGTGCACGATTATGACGCTATTTTACTCTGGGAAATGAAAGATGACTGTGTTGCAAAATCTAAAGTTTTCATTTAACCATAAGCGACTTGTTTAGTACTCTCATTACTATTGTTATCTACGGACCAAAATATAACATTTGAATAAAATATTTTTGGGCAGGTATAGCATTAAGACGTAGCATTGTGAAGTAGTATTATGAAGTGAATTATATAGAATGAAAATATATTGAAACACTAAATACAATTTTATTCTAAATTAAAATGGAAAAGATGATAACTCTCAAGTCCAACTCACAGTTCTCATGGTGACGGCTCGGTTACGGAAGCTGGATAAGTGACTGAAGCTCTCCCTTTCACGCACCCTTTATATACCAACGACAGGTTTACGCATGCAAAAAAAGCTCTCTTACTCAGCGCACCCATAAACATCTCTCCCGAGCCTGTTTAATCCCAGTAAAAAAAAGAGACTTATTATAAGCGAACAACGGAAAGGCACTGGAAGATCTGGGCTGCGTATGCATATTTCCCTATCAGAGAATTGCTCTCAACCTTGGAAGATTGAGTCACACGTTGCGGTCACTGCACGCGTTTCATATTGAAATAGTTAATCTTAGAAGGCTTATCGTCGGCAATCAGTTAACGCTCTGTGGCCATAAAATGGAAAGCAGTAAAGTATTCAACGCAAAGCGGACGTTGCATTGTTGAAAAGAAGTTGATTATGAATGATTACAGTTTTTATGAGTGACGATGCATTTAATTATAATTAAGTGTCTCATAATGTTAATTTGAAGCAAAAATTTTAGATTGGTTGAGACCAAGATACTTTAAATACATCACAGTCTGGTGAAAATACTGACTTCAGCAAGACTTTGAGAGCATTAACGGAGCTAAAATAAAAAAAAAACACATTTATTTTAAGAATGTTTATTTTTATGGGTCAGATGGCGTTTTATCTAACATTAAGACATCAAGGCTAGTCATCACGTAGAGGCAAAATTAATTCTATCAACGTTTCCTATCGTTGACCATTTCTATCTTATCGATCCTATCGTTTTTATCCTATATTGTCACCCACGACAATAAACTACACCTCTCTAACTATCTCCCGCGAACCAACTTGTTTCCGCATTTGAGTTTTATATTACCATCAATTTCTATTGTTTTTGGCATGTACAGTATATCTCAACAATTTGCATAGCTAATATAAAATTTGAAGCCTCGAACAGGTTTTGTTTTGGCCGACAGATGGCCGACGAGCAGCTACCTTACCTCGATTATCCACCGGGAAGTAACGGGCATGCGACCTCGGCTGCCTTCTCGCCTGCAGCCATCTTCTTTCACCGAGTGTATTGCGTTTTTGTGATAGGAAAATTGTGGAGCATTGCATTAATTGGGTGAGCAATTTCATTGCAATCGCAGGGATGTCATCGATGTACAGAGTAATGGAAGTATTGTTGTTGGGCAACACTAAGATACAGTGGTAGCAGATCATGAAACTGTTGTTGATTGATAAGACTATAAAAAGTTACGGAAATATAAAATTGCGTGTATAATATTACTAGAACAAGGTTTTCAAGGTAGACCATAGTAGAGTGTTGCATGGTGCTGTAGTTACACTGTGCTAGGGTTAATGAGGTATCAGATCGTGAAAGTTTTGGCGTTTGGTAATACATGGTTAGGATTCTAGAGGTATGGGATCGTGAAAGGATTGGTGTTTTGTAACACTAGGTCAGGATTGTTGAGGTAGCGGATCGTGAAAGTTTTGGCGTTTGGTTAATATACATGGTTTGGATTCTTGAGGTATCTGATCGTGAAAGGATTGGTGTTTTGTAACACTAGGTTAGGATTATTAAGGTAACGGATCGTGAAATGAAAATGATTGGTGTTTGGGTACACTAGTTTATAGGATTGTTGAGGTATCAGATCGTGAAATGATTGGTGTTTGGTAACACTAGGTTAGTATTACTGAGGTATCAGACCGTGAAATGATTAGTGTTTGGTAACACTAGGTTAGGATTCCTGATGGATCAGATCGTGAAAGTATTGGTGTTTGGTAACACTAGGTTATGATTGTTGGGGTAGCGGATCGTGAAAGCGTTGGTGTTGGGTAACATGAGAGAAAAGTAATGTCGGTATCAGATCTTAAAAGAATCCGGCAGTGTCTTGATGCAAATATTTATGCTGTGGTTTTTAGTGTCATAGAATCACTTCAAAAGTTACGTTCAAGCTCCGCATTTTTGGATAATAATTATAAATAAACATTATAAAACAAATTGTCGGACACATGCATAATTTTACAAATCCATGAAATATAGTTTTAATATTGAATTCCGATTAAATCTGAGAAGTACTTAATTAGATTCTAAAATAAAATTTCTTTATAAATTATTTGGCAAGTTCAGTATTAGGGGATTCCTTTCCAATTGAGACTATACAGAAGTTTATTAGCAGCAATCCTCCGATGAGAGAAGATGCGTGTACAAACCGTTAGTGTGTAAACCAGATGACATTCGCCGAAGATTGAAGATTGTTCGAGAATATATGAAACAATTTTTAAACTACAATCATGCATCAAGAGCTATTGAAGAGGTGCTTGTACATCTATGTTCAGAAAAGCAATTTCTGAACAGTGTTATGGGGTACAACAACAAAATATTTCATGCAAAATATTTCAACCAAAAACAACTGTCAACAAAATATTTCATATTTTGTTGACGTCAACTGTCAACAAAATATTTCATATTTTGTTGACAGATATTGCTGTTCGAATGACAAATATATCTGATTATCAATTATATAACCAAAGAATTAAAGTTTGACCTAATGTTGATGTTGAGATTAGATAAATAAATTCGTCCAACTCCAGGCTATTTTCTCGTTTATCACTGAAAGTCTCCCTTTCATATCAATTGGATTAGTATTAAAACTGCAAGCAATATTTATATATCAAACTTTTATATATTATCGGCAGTTTCAGTTACTTATTGCTATATATATATATTTTTTTTCGTATAATTCATTTAATTATCCAACAGACTTTCTGAGTCAAGTTCCTGATAGTGTACCATGTAGTTGATCGCAATGAAGATTACTGAGGCAATTCAATCTGTTAACTTATCTTTATAACCCTTTCACTATTTCATAATTTCTTACTCGTTATCCACTTATTCTCACCCACAATTCACTGGAAGGCGTTCCATAATTTTTTATTAGGCCTTGAAAAGGGAACGGTGGCAGATCTTCATCACGTTTGCCGACCGAGATAAAGTTTGCTACTCGATGAGAAGACGGTAACGAGGTTGAGATTTGTGCTTTACTTTCTGCAACTCACGATGCGGGTCAAATGAGGCACTTGAAGCAATTGTGCAATTGTGCAAACCATGTGCGATTCTATACACAGACGTATGGAAAACTCAATTCCATCAGTGCAACAAATTGTGCAATTGTGAGAGTGCTGTACCGTGAACCTTGCTTAATGGGCACCTGTAATTTTTTTGGGGTCAGCCGCTACTAAATTACAGTCGATATTTATCAGCATATATTTGTTCATCAGCACAACCGAAAAAAATGCATTTGAAAGCTTAATGAAATAAATAAATTTTGGGATAATAATTAAAATTACGTTTTTCGGTAAACGGAATATTAGTTCATATATATCCTTTTTTGATAGTTTGATTGAATTGCAATGTTTTGTTTTGATTATGAGCAATTCATTGTTATACACAAGCATTATCCAGCAAATATAGTTGGAAATTACAAGAGATTAAATAATAATATATTACTGATAACACAAATTTTAATAACATAGAATTGCGATTTCCAAATCATTCATAGTGCAATTTCATGTAATATGCAAAATGCACAGCAACAGCAACCGCAACAAATTATTTAATACGGCCAGGATTGAAAACTAGTGTTAAATCCGTTAAAATTTGTATTTCCCGAGAAAAAAAAAACATTTAAATGTCAAGAATAAAGTTGCTGAGTCACATGAACAACTTTCCCTCGCCCCATGACAGTTCACTCAGACACAGTTCATCCCAACGCAATTCACCCAAACATAGTTTACCCCAGCACACTCAGCCTCATCACAGTTCATCCCATTTCAAGTCACCCCAACATAGTTTACCCCAACACGCTGAGCCCTATCACAGTTCGCCCCATTACACATTATTCCAACACGCTTCAACCCAACACGGTTAACATCGACACAGACAACGCTAACACAGTTCACCCCCACACAAGTCACCCCAACATAGTTTACCCCAACACGCTGAGCCCTATCACAGTTCGCCCCATCACACTTCATTCCAACACGCTTCAACCCAACACTGTTAACATCAACACAAACAACGCTAACACAGTTCACCCCATCACAGTTCGCCCCATTACACATTATTCCAACACGCTTCAACCCAACACGGTTAACATCGACACAGACAACGCTAACACAGTTCACCCCAGCACAGTTCACATCAACATAGTTCACTCTAACACGCTTCATCGCAACACTCTACAACTCATCGCAGCTCACCCCAAGTGTTGATTTTAGCTTAAGGAACTAGCGACTCAGTTCCAGGTGACCAAACCAGGCCTGGATTGCCACAAGCGTGCAGCAATAGAAACAGCATTGTAGGATTGCCACATGGCTGCAGCAATCCAACAACATTGCAGGATTGACACAAGGGTACGGCAATCTTATAGCATATTGCAGGATTGCCACAAGGCTTCAACAATCCTAAAGCATTGCAGGATTGCCACAAGGCTGAAGCAATCCCACAGGACGAATTATATTTGCTGGGAATTCATGCCATATTTATTTGCTTAGATTGTTGGGTGGTTTTTCATATTTATTTCGCATGCATATCAACTAAAGAACAATAAAATAGTGCAAAATAACAATGAAATAGTGGGTAAGCATATTTATATCGCAGTTAAATCTTTGATTAAGGCTCTACCATGACAAAGCATATATAGAATATATTTTTTTTTTTATTTTGACTTCGACTTCATTTCAAATATGCCACGTATTTGCGTTACGTTTATTAAGCTCATTAATTGGGTTTTCTAAACCTTGGATTTGTAATTCGAGTGATCTGGAATAAGCAAATAACTTTTTTTAGAATAAGGAAAAAGGATTTAAAAATTCTAATTTTTTGTATATAAATAAATGCATTATATGATGGAATATATAGAAAAATTGATTTGGGTCTTCTTATACGAGATTGTTTGCGGCAATAGCCGTCACATTTCTATAATGATTATATCGAACTGCGTGTAACAAGTCTTGGAGCGTAGCAGATTAAAAAGTAATAGTTGAGAATTGTTCTGAACGATACGCAACAAATTAAGTCAAAAAGTTCGCGACAAAATGTGTCGAAAATCCCACCCACTGGTTGTCAAGGGGGAAGCGCTATTTAAAAGATGAATACCGAACGCATTTTTTATAACACCTGGCGAATGATATTTGAGCATTGATTTGATGTCATATGATATATTTTCGACTATTCATATTAAATGTATTCAGAATATGGATCTCTTTGAAACAGAATAAAAGTGGTAGGGAAATAGAAAAATATGGGTAACGTAAAAGACCGCAGGTGTTAATGTCGCACAACAGAGAAATTTAAAACATGGTTTTGAAGTAAAAAAAATTCCCTAAAGATCGGACATTCGTTTAAAGCCTTCTGTTGATGCTAATTATTCCAGGAATCTAAGGCGGCATCAATGCGATACAACAGTTTTTAAATTCCCGATTATTAAATTTTTGAATAAAATTCTTATATGGAATCGAACACCAAAAAGCGAATGCAATTTTGTTGTGTGTTTCAATGTTTTTTTCCTCTGAAGGAGAAAATTTGTGTGATTACGTGAGGCGAGCTGATTACGAGCGGCGAGATTGTGCTATATATGTATGCAGCATTATTTAAATTCATTCTTCAGAAATGAAAAGTGATGCGTAGTGAAAATTGAGATGTTCATAAATGTTTTTGGCAAAAATTTATGCAAAGATGCAAAAATATTTGCATTAATATTCATAGATCAATAAATTGATATTTTTGAAAGATGAATGAGATAAATCATGGGAAAAATGAGAAATAATCCTAAAATTTATCTCGTTAATGAAATCAATAATCAGAAAGCTAAATGACGATCTATCACTCCTATCTAAATAAAAGTATCTTATCGACAAGTCCATGTGTTGCACATAATTTTCCAATAAACATTACTAAATAAAATCGCATTGAACTTAGGATGTTCAAACTGTTCCATAGAGAAAATTTAATCATCAGACTGTAACTACTCTCTATACTGGTAATGGCCAGCACAACAGAGGTTTTTGAATATTAAGCGTAAGAATTAACTCATTACTAATGGATCTTAATACATATATTTTGACGGAACACATATAAATAAGGTACTGAAATTTAGTGATGATCCATATAATTCGGCAATATGAATTAATCCCTCAAAATTGTAGTTAACTTCAACCAATTTCTGTATTACAATGGAAAAGTATGTTCAGCCGCTTTTCAATTTCAATTGGACTTCACCTCTTGACAAGAAGCGAGCCTCTTTGCCACCATTGAGGCTCCCATGCATAGCAGCTAACGACGTGCAGTCACTGCATTACCCACGTTGATTGGATGACTGCGTTTTTTGTCTAAGGATTCAAAAGAATGAAGGGATTCAAAGGTCAGTGATGGTAAAATTTAGAACGTAGACCGTAAAGGCATGCAGAGTTACGCACGATTTACTGATAGGGACAGATAATTAAATTTTCGGGAACAAGAAACGAATTATCTGAATTATTTAGAGCTACTACCAGCACCGTCTCTATTTTAACTTTCACATGAAACATTATTGATGTGTGCTCTAAGATAAATTTATATTTCAAATTATTATTTAAATATCCCATGGCATTTAATTAGCGAAAACCGTAATTGCTAGTTTCGTTCGTTAGTTATGTCTAGGATAACGATGACAAATTAATAAAAGACAAGTTAGCACTAATTAATCAATTAATCAATAAGCAGGCTTAGTTGCACGAGTTCGTAGCTGAGGCAATTACTCGAAGAGAATAACGAATTTTTTTTCAATTTCGGCAGCTCAGTTTTCATGTTCAATCATTAAATAAAAATTTCCTTCCAACACTTGTCGTGGTCAACTAATAAATGTAGGGAACGATTACCAGGGTTGAAGAATCTCATAACGCTGTAAATTTGCTTCTTCATCGGAGGAAACCTCTGAACATGCAACTTTGTTTCTACTTAAAAAAATAGTATCTATGTACCTATAGTATCGCGACTCATTGTTGAAATATTTCAGAATATCAAAGACACCTTAAAAATTGTGGGATTACTGTTATCGTCAGGAAAAAAATGCATATCAAACAATATAAAAAATACAGCTAAAATCTAATTTTAACCTTTTAATAAAGTAATTTGATCTAACTTCTCTTTGATAGTCAGACTGCAAATTTCAATCATAAGATCGATGGCGGCCGATCGTACTTTGACGATTTAATTTTTATAATAATTTTCACTTAAAACAATACTTTCACACAGAGATTCATCCCCTGACTTTCCTTTAATTCTCAAATTGCCGTCGATGTTGCAACCACAATATTTATTCTTTACATTTTAAATTTCTTGGGCATGACAGCTGCGTTACGGCTTAGCTCTTGCAGCGTCAACTGTNGTTCACGCGATGTCTGTATTTTAAAAATTATCTTCTATATCCAGTCACACAATGTGTGTCGGTTGCGATCTACTTCATAACCAATAAAACTATACAACTGAAGATTTATAAATTAATGATAATTGCTTATCGAACGGGCAGAAATACCCAGAATAACTTCATCAAGGAGCTATTATCTCCTTGTCCTCGCCAGCATAAGCTTAGTGAAAATTTTCCATTTATTATGAATAAGAATTTTTTCATTACTAATAATAATTCTAAACATTTGCCAAATGACATTTCGATCCAAATATTTTAATTTGGAAACGTAATCTGAATTTTCGACTTAGTTTGAAAATATAACATAGTTTTCTGCTTATACGACATGTCTTAAACGTGATAAATTTACAAATTTTTGCTCGCATAGGTAATTTGAATAATTAACCTAACTGAATTATATTCAAACTGCGGTAATTGTTGGCATGCAATAGCCCTGTGTTTCATCATATCTATACCATTTGAGACCAAATGACACTATATAATATAAAGTTAAGATTACATGAAGACTTTATATACTCTCCTCGTCTATTTATACCAATTCAATTTTATTTCGTACTGTAAATTTTAACATATAGGTTCATCTAATTTACGAATAGGCTCACGTTTCTCAAAAGGTTTCTTATAATAAGTGGCATTGGGATCTTAACAAATACTAAAATAAACGGCTTCGCGTGATATCTATTTTGGCGAACTGAATCCTGTAATTGATATTAGTATGATCTCGGCCGTGCCCTGTATTGTTCGGAAAAGTTTCCTTTAGGATAAATTATATTCTCAATTGATGCTTGTTTATGTCATCAAATGACATAAACAAGCAGTTATGTAAAATGTTTATGTCATCACCTAGTTACGTTCAGCAACTTTTCATCAATAAATTGTTGTCTAATACTCTTCATATAGTGTCAATTTTTTTATGAGAGGATTATATCAGAAATTGAAATCAAAATTTAGAATTGGTATGGATAAATATAATATTAAAGGATGGAAAATATTTTCTTCATATCATGAAACGAGGTAGAGTTTGACATTCTAAGTAGAATTTCATATTGAAGATATTTTCCATTTATTAATAAATAATTGATATTAACTACTCGTATATGTATCAACGGGATTGAGGATTGATGGAATCTAAAATTTTAGTGATAAACGTTGCTGGGCAACAACGGTCTAAGCAGCTGGTTCATTATCGAATACTTGTAATCTAAGTCCAATTTCGCTTCATAATAAAAAAATTAAACTATTCTCTTGCCCACCTAAGTTCAATCAAATCTCGTACTGGTTTCGCGCATGCTCAGAAGAGTACTACAATTTTTAGTCATTTCGAGTGCCAAATGCGCTTAAAATTAAAATCTATGGCATAAATTTTCCTTGCCTGCCTATTTGAACTTTCATACACAATACTATTAATAAGTGCGTCTTCATCCACCAAATGAATGGGTGGATCAAATGTTATTTTATCAAAAATACAATGCAGCTTTGTACCCTCATCCACATCACTAATCTTATCTGTGCTCTCATCCACAATACTATTCGTCTTCGTAATATCATCCACGAAATTTTTCTTATTCGTGCCTCTATCCCGTTACTATTCATGTTTGTTCCTCCATCGACAGCACTATTTTTATTCTTGCCCTCATTCACAAAACTATTTCTCCTCGCGCCCTCATCCACTATACTATTTCTATTCTTGCCCTCATCCACAAAACTATTTCTACTCGCGCCCTCATCCACTATACTATTTCTATTCTTTACCGACACGCGCGTGATCAGGTTTAAAGGTCCCGCTGTTCATAAATCAAAGTAACG